TTAAAATTAAAATTTTTAAAAATCCCGAAGTTTTGTAAAATTCGATTTTAAAACTTTACTTCCGGTTTTCTATGTGAACAAAAAAGAAATTTCAAATTTGTAGTAAATAGTAAGAAATACAGTTATTATTTATTCTTAAAAGTCCAATAGTTAGTTTATTTTTAATCAAATGTAATAATAGCAGTAATAGCTTCTGAAAAATCTTTTCCTAAAATTTTACCAATTTTTTGAACGTTCATAAAAAATAAAATAAGCTTCATAAAAAAAATATAATGATGCACATCCATTCAGGTCATATAGCAGTACATTTAATCCAAATATGAACAAAATCCAAAACCTGACTTGATTTTCGCTGTCCGCTTCGCGTGAAATGCCCCCTATGTTACTCGTGGATAATGTAGCTTTCGAATGGTGAAAGAATTTTTAAAAACGGTTCAGTAGTTTTTGAGCCTATTCATTACAACCAAACAAACACAAAGTTTTCCTCTTTATAATATTAGTGTAGATATTCTAAGCCTAGGCGCAGACCACCGACTTTTAGTTGGCCGGGCTGTTGGGTCGGGCTGTTAATCAGTAAGAAGATGTATGAAAGTGCGCACGTTACACCGATTTGGTATCGGCCGATTCTTCATACAAATTAGAATCGGGCCCAACTATCGGCCAACTAAAAATCGGTGGTCTATGCCTAGCCTAATTTACTGAAAGTAATTGGGATAGATGTTGAGTTTCCAATTGAACTGCAAGCCTTCAGAACCGTGCTTCTGTATGCTGTCACAGGCGTCACAGCTGTGTTGTCACATGACTAACCAACTCGAACGCTATTCCGAAAGAAGCTATCTAAGAACGCAGACGTTTAAAATATTATTACATAGATTTTCACAGCTTAGCGATAGTTAGATATTGTTTTTCTGTAACCTGTAACTAATACAATTGTCGTTTATTCCAGAAATACGTTCCATCAGAGCAGCGCAAGAACGACCAGAAGCTGGTAGACGAGGCGGTGATCAAGGCGGTGGGCGCGCGCGCCGACAAGAAGGTGTTGCGTGGCTACCTACGCGCCGCCTTCGGGCTGCGCTCCAGCCAGTACCCGCACAGACTGCGCTTCTAGGCTAAGAACAATAAATAACCTATAAACGACCAAGCGCCTTTTATTTGTAGCTTTACATTTGAGGTCTAGCGTACAATACCATCGAGTTAACTGCGCACCTCGCTTGAATGCGGCTCGCTCTGCCTTTCACTTACCCGAACACCCCCGCGTTTAGCGTTGGCCGAACTATCTATAGTAAAAAAAAACTATAGTTTTCATTCGAAAAAGCCTCTTAACAATAATAATCTCACTTGTATTTAAAATTACCTGCATTAGTTAAGTACGGCAAATAAAATGTATTGCCAATTTTGGAAACATATAATTAAATGTTATGGTTAACTATATGAAATAATTCAAGTATTTCAATAACCCTATTGTTGTGCCTATTGACTATTATACCCAAATATTGTAAACGATACTATTGTAAATAATAATTGCCAAACTATCGATAGTCTAGAACAATCGATAGCATTTTATTCAAAAGCTACAATACTATCGATTTATTCTTCACGAGCAACAATACTATCGATAGTATTGCACATATTCAATAGTATTGCCTCGTTTTGAGCTATCAATAGGCCAATCGATAGTCTTGCGATAGTTTGGCTATCGATAGACTATCGATCGGCAACACTTCCCGCGTTCGCCCCGTCCGTACCAGAGCGTCGATGTGATGTCACCGGCAACCAGGTGCGCAGTTAACTCACCGGGTTGTATGATAGACCTCACCAGTTGGCGCCTCTGTAGAGTAAGTTCCTGTAACTCGCTAGCTACTTAGTAGTAAGACGAGGCGCCAACTGATGAGCCCTGAAGGGAGGGCTGTCGCATTGAGAGCTATAATTTAAGCGCTCACCAGTTGGCGCTACTGTAGAGTAAGGTCACTAACGCTATTGCTAGTGGCGCCAACTGAGTGCAATTATCGTTGTTCCCGCTAGGTGGCGATAATTTGCAAAGTAGCAACAATAATTTTATTTTTCTATGGTTTTAAATAAAACAACCATGAACATTACACACTACATTTAATTTACAAAAAACAACTTTATAGAAAACAACAACAACTTGCATACATTTGTACAAATAGTACCTTGCATTGTGATTACTAATCTTGCGGGTAGGTAAAAAGTGAGCATACTTGCGAAAGTTTTGACTAATTGTAGGGTAGGTGAAGTTTTCATTTGTATTTGTTAGCCGGTTGGCGCGGCCGCGCGGAGACCGCGTTGCGAGGTCGTTGGCCGTGGCGCTCGCGCCATTCTGCCTCCAATTTCGCGTATACGCCACCTGAATCAAAACATGAGAAGATAGACCTACTGCCATACAGTGCCAAAATAGCGCAACTGTCAGCTGACGAGAGCGCAACTCTTGGCTAACGACATAGCATCTGTTAGCTGACGAGATTCCAACTGTCGTCTGACGAGAGAATCACTGTGGGCTAACGATAGAAGCAACTGTCGACAGACGATAGCGAAACTGTCAGATGACGATAGTGCAACTGTCAGTGGGCTATAGTGCAACTTTCGACCGATGATAGCGCAACAGTATAATAGTGACTGAGTTTCTTGCGCTGCTTCTCAGCACTGGCCCATTTATTGTCCTGAAGCAGTGGTAGGGTTAATACTGGGACGTGTAAAAGTGCTTTTTTAAAGGCCTATTTACAGAAATAAATGAGTTTTACAGTCGCCTGATGAGAATGCAACCATCGGCTGATGATATCGCAACTGTCTGCTGACGATTAGTTAGTGCAACTGTCGGCTGACGATAGTGCAACTGTCGGCTGATGATAGTGCAACTGTCGGCTGACAATCGAACTAGTGAGAATAAGGCTGGTTTTAGTGTCACGCGGACGGTGCGGTGCGGACCCGCTCCGCATAGCCGATCTGTATGAACTGTTATGGAGCGGAGCGGTTCCTCCGGACCGCATTACTCTAAAACGCTCCCTAGCGTTCATACACTTAAACCAGCCTAAAGGACGGACTGTAACTGTCGGCTTCTACTGCTGTGATAGCTACAACCACACACACCTGCAGGTGCCTTAGCCTTGCTGGGTGTAAGCGCGGCGCGGCGAGCGAGAGCTGCCCGCATCTGCCGCGCCGCGCGCTCCTCGAAGCGACGCTGCTGGTCCTGGTTGCTGCGCGCCGAAAGCGACGCCACCCACACGCGGCCCACCACGCGGACTCTTCTGGGGACACATGGGGTCTTAGGAGTTTTAGGGATGACAGTCGTGTGAAATATGAATCCTACCGGATGATATGAACGTGACATCATCATGGCTAATCTGTTATTCAACCTACATTACAAGTTCAAGCAAAGCAATTACTTACGGCATCACGTCTTGGGGAGCATCAATATTTTTTAAACAAGGTGAGGTAAAAGTACCACCGATTTAAAGGTATACTTAAAAGTGCCTTGAATCATAAACGTGAACTGCGGGGCGACCGGTACTGTGACGTTGCCAACTCGGTAACGGTTTTAAGTTCTGAAAAATCGGCGGTGTTTTCAACTCTCCTTCTTCTGTTTCAAAATATCTCGGTCTCCCTACCTACTTTTGAACTATTTATCTTACTTATCTTACCCCGAGAGGGGAACTGGTCGGCACAAATGAATTAGGAAAAAGCACATAAGAAGAAGAAGTATCTCACTTGTTCGTGGGATGGCTATGCGGTCGCTGATGCGGTGCGACGCGTCGCGGCGCGTCCTCGTCACTGCGGGCGCTGCACGAGCTCTGCTCGCTGGCGTCCGACTCGCTGGACTGCTCCTCGCTGGCGTCGCCCGCCTCGCAGACGGCGCCTTTCTTCGTAATCAAGCAGTGTCAGACGTAGGTAGATCAAGCAGAGCCCCGATTACGGTAATTTTTAACGTCTCCAATCCAGACACGCTTCTCGATTCTGCGATACGATTGGTCGTTCAACAGCTGTTTTGACCAATCGTATCGGAGAATCGATGAAGCGCGTCTGGATTGTAGACGTCAAAAGTTACGTAATCGGGGCTCAGTGTTAGAGAGCTGCCACACTGGCAGATTGCAAACGTTTTCAAAGCGTAGCGGCGACGCTGCGTGGCGGAAACGTTGCGCATCCGCGGCGTCTTCGCCTCATCGCCGCTCCGCTTTGAAACCGCTTTCCGCCAGTGTGGCAAGGCCCATAGACGCGCCAATTGAGAGTCACATGGCCAGTTTGTGGCATAAGGCTGGTATGGTTTCAACACAGACCACATTGTGTGGTCTGTAGGTTTCAAGCAGTGTCAGACGTAAAGTATAGTGGTACCAGAAGTCTGGATAGCAAGACAGTTGGTAGTCACGCGGCTTAGTTTGTGGCGATTTCCAACAAAGCGGAGATTTATTTCTACAACACCTCTCCGCTCAGTTTTTGTGGAAACTGGGCCTAAGTACCAAAGTAACTAGGCAGTGACGCAGATTAAACGCTTTGGAGAGTTAAGTAGGTACACGGCAAAAGTTCGTGGCTTAGTGATAATTATTGGAAGTTGGAACTTTTGTCGTAAAAATTAATAAAATGAAGCATGTTCAAAAATATTATGGACTCTACCGACTACATACTTAATACTGTGCTATTAAAGTTTCCTAGATGCGTGTAGGTACTACTGGGTTCGTAGGTCTTCGTTGTCTTACCAACAATTAATGCAAAAAAAGCAAAGTTATTTTGTAGCAGTGTACACTACCAACTAGAAGCGTAATTACTACTAACATTAATATTTACAAGAACCTTCCATCTGTAACAGTAACTACCCACAGGTAAGTACAGTCACGGAATGAAAAGATTCGTCAGTTTTCAAATTGATTCCTTCAACGAATTCCTAAAACGAAAATAATCTTTAACTGTTCGTCAGTAAAGTTCAAAATTATTCAGATCAAAGTTGTTTGACGATTTAACTTGTCAAGAAGATTATTAAGATTGATAAACTAAAACCTTCTTGTTGGTTCAACCTGCCATTATCTATTAAATAAAAAAAACTACATTTTGTAACATTGCACTGATGGGATAGAAAAATAAACAAGCAAAACCTTATTCGTTAGCAAACGTCATATTTATTTAAATGTTAGCAGCAATGTTTCTTGCACGGTTATGTTGGCAGGTTTGACTCTTACAGTAGGTACCTAGTGCAAGCGAAAACCGACACTAAGGTGACGAACCTTTTCATTCCGCGACTGTACATTTTCTCTATAACTACCTACACACGGTAAGTTACATCGACCATTTCTGAGGCTAATGGTGCGAGAAAGAGTAGGTGCACTCCGCACAGTGCATTTACCTACCAAAAAGTTTAGGATTGATTGCATGCAAGTATTTTATCATTGGTTTCTTTATCAAGCTTTAAATTACGTGAAAGAAGCCAAAAGTATTAATATTTCATTAAGGAATGTTTCATGTTTAAGTATCATGTAAATCATCAATAAGACCGGCAACCTCGGCGTTGGTCTTCCGAGCCGGATGCCCGCTTACCTTCGGTCGCGGGGATTCCTCCTTAGCCTCCTTGGGCTTGAAGGTCTTGGAGTCTTTGGCCTCGGTGGTGGCGCTGGAGCAGTTGCAGGCCAGGGAATGGGCCTGGGAGGGAGCGCGGGCCGCCCCAAGCGTGGGGGAGCCTGGTCTCGCGCAAGCTGTAGGAGATTTAGGTTAGGGAGGGGATGGTAGGGGCTTGTGACGTATTTGTGTTATTTTGTTGTGTGAATGAATGATGATGTTAATTATGTAGGCAACTGATTTTATTTGAAGATATTATGTAACTTTTTCATAATAATAAGTAAGTAGTGTAGTTTAGGTTTGGTAATTAAAATGGGGATATGGAAACACTAGGTACACCAATATTTTTATCTACAGATCCGACATTTGATTTAGCATAGAACAGTAAGCAGTTAATTATTGCTGACAACATTTTGTAGGGCTCCATCTTAGAGTCGGAACTTGGAATTAAATGCTCATAATAATTGTTCTCTGCAGAATACCTATAAATTGTAGGGTGGACTCTATCAGCAATCAAAGAGCGTGTCCACACGATGCCTTAAACGGACATTTCAGAAGCTACCTTTTCAATAGATTCCGTTACAAATAAAAGCATCGTGTGGCATAATAATAATATCTGCATCGCATTTGAGCGGGGTAGTAGTGTATTTACAGTTTTTGGGGTAAATCTAATCGTTGCTCTTTTGCAAGAAGCTGGATTCACATGGCCACTACATGTGGTCTTGGGGAGCGTATTTACAGCCCTTGATTCTAAAAGCGGTGGCGGAGATTTGAGAGCACTTTATTTTTGTTAACTACTTAAAAAGTAACGTATTGGGGAAAAGAAAAGGCATCGTCGATGAAAAACATAACCCTAACTCTGACGCAGTCGGGTCAAAAGGAAACAACTCGATTTTTAAAATTTTGAAGATTAATACCAAAAAGTAACAACCTTCTCATTGTTTTAAATACAAGATAATTGACTACTAAATATTTATTTATTTATTTTATATGATTATAAATACAAATTATCAAAGTAAGTTCAACATAAAATTCTGTCTTGTCTCTGAAAATTCTGCTCAAATAAACTTTATAAGATTGAAAGAGAAGACAAGATCATAAAAACGTGGTTTCTTTTTATCTTTTGAATCCCAAGTCCCCGCCACCACGCTACACAATCGCTCACGGTTGAACTTGTTGTTGCTGGTGTAAAGCTTGCCGAGCAGCCCGAGCGGCGCGCGCGGCGGCGCCAGCTGGATGCCCTCCCACCAGAACACCTCCTTGCACTGCAGGCGACCGCCGGCCTCCTCGCCCGGCTCTGCGGAACGATGCCGGGTGTATTTTGTCCACATTTGTTGATGAGGAAGAATTTTGATTCTGGCAGGCAGCGCAAGACCAGTTTTTGTGGAAATCCTTGAGAGGCCTTTGTCTAATCGAGCTAATTGCGCACTTTACTGGAATGCGACTTCCCTCGCACTTATCCACACACCTCCCAGGCCCAGCCGGGCTAGGATGCGCGCCGTGATATACTTTATCGACGTCAAAATGTATTGGCAAAAACGATAAAATGGCGTGATAACCGCTTATCGCGGCGCGCATCCTAAGCCTAGTTGTAACAGTAGACGTCTTTTGGTTGAAACAATCTCAATTACAAAAGACTTTTATTGAATGTTCTGTTCAACGTTAACTGGCTCAGAATCTACTGTAATAGTCTACCTAGGTACCTAAGGTTGATTTGCTCGTGTCGGACGATAACATCATTGAAAAATCAGCTGTGGGCCAATATTATGACAGTCAACTTTCTGTAGACTTCCACTGCCCTTTCATCATTGTTTGGAGTACCTACTTATCTACCTGCAAAAGCTTGCACCTTATGGCACCTCCGACAGCCCCTTGTCAGGCGATATCATAATTAAGAAGTCACAATTGTGATGATGACGTAGATTGCTTCAAAACTAGCTTGAGTCTAAAGCCCGGTCTGTGAGCACGTAGAATTTTGTCCAATGACCCCAAGCTACCCATCCTTATCGCTCGCGCGTAATTATATTGCTGTCGCGACTGCGACGGGCACCCGCAGTAAGAGTGCGAGCGCGACAGCTTAGACTTAATTACGCACGAGCGATAAGGATGGGTAGCTTGGGGTCATTGGACAAAATTCTACGTGCTCACAGACCAGACTATACCCTGCAAGAGACTCCCACCCCCTTACCCCTACCGACGAGCCTGGTGAGCCGCTCGGGGAACATCAGCTGCGGCGGGCGCATAGCGATGATGTCGCGGAACTTGCCGTAGATCTCCATCACTACAGCATCGGTGGCCAGCCGCTCGTCAGGTGCATGCTCGCGGAACTGGCAGCCCTGGGAAGATAGTTGGTCAGATTTAGATTGTGAATCTAATGATTTCGATTTCATTTGATCATGATGATGCAGTGCCATGATTCACATCTATTTTGTGGGTTGTAAGTAACAAACAAAATTCACAGTCTCAACTGGTCTCAACTTAGGTCAGATGCATGTCATGGTTGAATCGAAGAAGCACATCATTTTATTTCAAAGCAGTAAAGTTGCAAGCCTGAACGCTATGCAACCCAGAACCTACACAAGAATAATAATTAACTAAATAATGTTTCTGCCTTAGTGCCTCTTTAGCTCACTCAATAAGAAGCAAGCATACATAAGCAAACGATTGTCATGTGGAAAAGACATCATGACGTGTCACACCTGATAACTCTAATGGTTTCGGGAAGTTAGGACTTAACCAGTCCGGGAAAAATTACGACCCAAAGTTGCAATTAAACTCTCTTTCTCTTCGGGTCCGTACTTAGTCTGACTGGGAACAAAATAATACAACGCGTATGCGCGGACTCACAGTGTTCCTGGTGACGGTCTCGAAGCGGTAGGCGCGCTCGCCGCAGCACGGGTAGCGGCCGGTGGGCAGCGGCGCGCGGCCCTCCAGCGCGAACATGTGCGGGCCCTGCTCGTGGTGCGAGCACCACTCCATCTGAGGATACGAGGTACTCAGTACGGGATACGCTAGTATAGGATAAAGGAGGCTAGCCTCTTTTTGGAAGCTTGTGTTGTGTAGGTATACCTACCCAATGTAGGATATAGCAAACAAGCCTCTTTTTTCGAAAACTTGCACGCAACAATCAATCAAACTCCATCAAAAAACGCGAGGAAATAAAACGCAAATCGGCACCGTTATTGAAGCTCTAGAAATTAAAAGGCCAGAAGAACTACTAAAGCCTGGTCCGTGAGCACGTAGAATCCCGTCCAATGACCCCAAGCTTGTCGCTCGCACACTCACTGCGGGCGCGCGTCGCACAGTCGCGACAGCAATATAATTACGCGCGAGCGATAAGGATGGGTAGCTTGGGGTCATTGGACGGGATTCTACGTGCTTACGGACCAGGCTTTAGCTGAAAAGTTAGATCCACAGAATGCTCCCCATTGACAAAACCTAACATTTCTACAACCCGGTCAAGTTAACTGCGCACCATGCGACCGTGACGTCAATCGACGCTCTTATACGGACACGGCGAACGCGGGGAGGTGTACGGGTAAGTAGAAAAGACTCGCATTTGAAGAAGTTTTGGAATTGGAGCCCTGTTTATTCTAAGTAGAGAGAGAGACAGTGCAAATATTATGAGGCTTTAGTTATACTATTTAATCTTGTCAAAATAACACTTGCTGACCTGGTAAGCCGGGAAGAAGCTGTCGCACAGCTGGCAGCGCAGGAAGTGGCAGTCGGCCCACAGGCGCCAGTACACGCGCCGCCACGAGCGCAGCTCGCCGTACAGCCACGTGATGTACTCGTTCAGGCTCCACGTCGGGTCCCTGACACAAAATAATAAATAAATAAAACGTTTATTGCCAGTAAAACCAAATACATAAAGTCCTTATATCTAGCGGATACCGCACTAAGCAAAGCTTGTGTCGCAGTAACCTTTAATATTTGTTTCACAAAAGAATCTTTACTAGGGGGTCTAGGAACATAAAGGTAGGGCAAAAAAAATGAGACATATATAGGCTCCTTAAGAGCATTTGACGATTTGCAAGAACTAATTTAATTAGTCTAAACAAATAAAGATAATTTTGATTTTGATTTTGAAAGGGTCATAAAGGCTACGCTCTCCTAGTAAACGCTATACGCGGCGTACATCGGTGTCCAACGTTCCTATCGACGCCGTATGCCGACGTCTGAGAAGAGACCACAACAGTTCATTTCTATAGTAAGCATTGTGACCAACACTGTACACGGCCTACGGGAAGTTGAACCTTAATTTCGAACTCCTCCTATGTTCTTCTGATTAATTTCGTTGCGGGTCCAATGACAGTTTAACTTTCCCCCGGGACAAACTTGACCTTCATTGGTTGGGTTTTTGTGGTGGTCAAGCTGTAGATCCTGGCTACACAGGAGTTGCAGTGGTGGGAACGAGATGTGGGAATAGTCCCGTGCATAGAGAAAAGTAATACATAGGAAATAGAGAACCCACTCTGTCAAATTTTTGAGCCTACTAATTGACAGCCTGGTGTTAAATTCGCTGTACTTAACCTACGTACGTAACGCTCACATACACACATAGTACACGCACACATANACATGTGGTCTTGGGGAGCGTATTTACAGCCCTTGATTCTAAAAGCGGTGGCGGAGATTTGAGAGCACTTTATTTTTGTTAACTACTTAAAAAGTAACGTATTGGGGAAAAGAAAAGGCATCGTCGATGAAAAACATAACCCTAACTCTGACGCAGTCGGGTCAAAAGGAAACAACTCGATTTTTAAAATTTTGAAGATTAATACCAAAAAGTAACAACCTTCTCATTGTTTTAAATACAAGATAATTGACTACTAAATATTTATTTATTTATTTTATATGATTATAAATACAAATTATCAAAGTAAGTTCAACATAAAATTCTGTCTTGTCTCTGAAAATTCTGCTCAAATAAACTTTATAAGATTGAAAGAGAAGACAAGATCATAAAAACGTGGTTTCTTTTTATCTTTTGAATCCCAAGTCCCCGCCACCACGCTACACAATCGCTCACGGTTGAACTTGTTGTTGCTGGTGTAAAGCTTGCCGAGCAGCCCGAGCGGCGCGCGCGGCGGCGCCAGCTGGATGCCCTCCCACCAGAACACCTCCTTGCACTGCAGGCGACCGCCGGCCTCCTCGCCCGGCTCTGCGGAACGATGCCGGGTGTATTTTGTCCACATTTGTTGATGAGGAAGAATTTTGATTCTGGCAGGCAGCGCAAGACCAGTTTTTGTGGAAATCCTTGAGAGGCCTTTGTCTAATCGAGCTAATTGCGCACTTTACTGGAATGCGACTTCCCTCGCACTTATCCACACACCTCCCAGGCCCAGCCGGGCTAGGATGCGCGCCGTGATATACTTTATCGACGTCAAAATGTATTGGCAAAAACGATAAAATGGCGTGATAACCGCTTATCGCGGCGCGCATCCTAAGCCTAGTTGTAACAGTAGACGTCTTTTGGTTGAAACAATCTCAATTACAAAAGACTTTTATTGAATGTTCTGTTCAACGTTAACTGGCTCAGAATCTACTGTAATAGTCTACCTAGGTACCTAAGGTTGATTTGCTCGTGTCGGACGATAACATCATTGAAAAATCAGCTGTGGGCCAATATTATGACAGTCAACTTTCTGTAGACTTCCACTGCCCTTTCATCATTGTTTGGAGTACCTACTTATCTACCTGCAAAAGCTTACACCTTATGGCACCTCCGACAGCCCCTTGTCAGGCGATATCACAATTAAAGAAGTCACAATTGTGATGATGACGTAGATTGCTTCAAAACTAGCTTGAGTCTAAAGCCCGGTCTGTGAGCACGTAGAATTTTGTCCAATGACCCCAAGCTACCCATCCTTATCGCTCGCGCGTAATTATATTGCTGTCGCGACTGCGACGGGCGCCCGCAGTAAGAGTGCGAGCGCGACAGCTTAGACTTAATTACGCACGAGCGATAAGGATGGGTAGCTTGGGGTCATTGGACAAAATTCTACGTGCTCACAGACCAGACTATACCCTGCAAGAGACTCCCACCCCCTTACCCCTACCGACGAGCCTGGTGAGCCGCTCGGGGAACATGAGCTGCGGCGGGCGCATGGCGATGATGTCGCGGAACTTGCCGTAGATCTCCATCACTACAGCATCGGTGGCCAGCCGCTCGTCAGGTGCATGCTCGCGGAACTGGCAGCCCTGGGAAGATAGTTGGTCAGATTTAGATTGTGAATCTAATGATTTCGATTTCATTTGATCATGATGATGCAGTGCCATGATTCACATCTATTTTGTGGGTTGTAAGTAACAAACAAAATTCACAGTCTCAACTGGTCTCAACTTAGGTCAGATGCATGTCATGGTTGAATCGAAGAAGCACATCATTTTATTTCAAAGCAGTAAAGTTGCAAGCCTGAACGCTATGCAACCCAGAACCTACACAAGAATAATAATTAACTAAATAATGTTTCTGCCTTAGTGCCTCTTTAGCTCACTCAATAAGAAGCAAGCATACATAAGCAAACGATTGTCATGTGGAAAAGACATCATGACGTGTCACACCTGATAACTCTAATGGTTTCGGGAAGTTAGGACTTAACCAGTCCGGGAAAAATTACGACCCAAAGTTGCAATTAAACTCTCTTTCTCTTCGGGTCCGTACTTAGTCTGACTGGGAACAAAATAATACAAAGTATGCGCGGACTCACAGTGTTCCTGGTGACGGTCTCGAAGCGGTAGGCGCGCTCGCCGCAGCACGGGTAGCGGCCGGTGGGCAGCGGCGCGCGGCCCTCCAGCGCGAACATGTGCGGGCCCTGCTCGTGGTGCGAGCACCACTCCATCTGAGGATACGAGGTACTCAGTACGGGATACGCTAGTATAGGATAAAGGAGGCTAGCCTCTTTTTGGAAGCTTGTGTTGTGTAGGTATACCTACCCAATGTAGGATATAGCAAACAAGCCTCTTTTTTCGAAAACTTGCACGCAACAATCAATCAAACTCCATCAAAAAACGCGAGGAAATAAAACGCAAATCGGCACCGTTATTGAAGCTCTAGAAATTAAAAGGCCAGAAGAACTACTAAAGCCTGGTCCGTGAGCACGTAGAATCCCGTCCAATGACCCCAAGCTGCCCATCCTTGTCGCTCGCACGTAATTATGTTGCTATCGCGCTCGCACACTCACTGCGGGCGCGCGTCGCACAGCAATATAATTACGCGCGAGCGATAAGGATGGGTAGCTTGGGGTCATTGGACGGGATTCTACGTGCTTACGGACCAGGCTTTAGCTGAAAAGTTAGATCCACAGAATGCTCCCCATTGACAAAACCTAACATTTCTACAACCCGGTCAAGTTAATTGCGCACCATGCGACCGTGACGTCAATCGACGCTCTTATACGGACACGGCGAACGCGGGGAGGTGTACGGGTAAGTAGAAAAGAGTCGCATTTGAAGAAGTTTTAGAATGAGGGCTATCGTTTTTATACTCAACAGTTGGCACCCCTGGCGATTGACAGGACCTTACTCTACAGTGGCGCCATCTTGATGAGTGCAAATGCGATAGTCCTCCTACCACTTTCACGCTCACCAGTTGGCGCCACTGTCTTCGCTACCAGCAAGTGACAGGACCTTACTCTACAGTGGCGCCAACTGGTGAGCGCTAAACCGATAGCCCTCATTGGAGCCCTGTTTATTCAAAGTATAGAGAGAGAGACAGTGCAAATATTATTAGACTATAGTTATACTATTTAATCTTGTCAAAATAACACTTGCTGACCTGATAAGCCGGGAAGAAACTGTCGCACAGCTGGCAGCGCAGGAAGTGGCAGTCGGCCCACAGGCGCCAGTACACGCGCCGCCACGAGCGCAGCTCGCCGTACAGCCACGTGATGTACTCGTTCAGGCTCCACGTCGGGTCTCTGACATACAAGCCACGTCATAAAATTAATCTCCGCCAAGTCACACAACATTAAGTATAATAATAAAGAAATCGCAGTAAGGAACCGTCACAGACTTGGCACGACTTTGTCTAGATTTCATTACTTTTTAGAGATAAACAAGCAGCTCCATCGAGACTTGGCTAGTTTTTTACAGAATGTTTTTGGTGGGATATTATTTATGCTTGTGACTTGTGAAGCTACTCATTGACATCCGTATTTTGACTCTTTCCGGCTCTTAAATCGAAATTTCCCGGCAACTGGATAACAGTCCTAATCTAGGTCGAGTGAGAGGAGCTCTTCGTGAAACCATAAAGAGTGTCCTTTGTGGTTTCAAGAAGGTAGCAAAGGTACAGTGAGCGTCAAATAATTCGTACACCTAAAGTGGCCAAGAATGTGACAACACAACTTTATTCCAATGTAACAGAACATGTTGCGAACTTTTTTCGTCAATGTAACGGCATGTAGTCTTTGGGTGTCACGAACTATTTTACGCTAACTGTACCTACATGAATTTTAATTAGGAGGCAGTTCTCCATCATACTAACTTGGTGTGAGTGGAGATCACGTTCCCACGCCGGTCGATCCTCATGCTAGAGGGCTGGCACGGGACTTGTTCAGCGATGTGGCGCCCTAGCAGCTTGTTGCATCTGTCAATAACAACAATGTTACCATATAAAAGATCTTTGAACTTTGACAGATGAAAAGAAATCGCAAACCGCGCTGCTTCATGTGAGGGTGTACCCTAAATACGCCAATGGGAACGAACTAAAGTTTCTGCCATAGGCTAGAGTACTGTGCCGCAAACGGTGTACCGCGACACACTCGTGAACCTTGGTCATTAGATAGTGTGCCTTGGAAAAATAAGATTATCTTATAAACTTATTTTTAGTAAGTAAGGATAAAAGACTAATAATTAGGTAGTATCTAAACATTAATTTTTCATGTGTGGTGTACCTTCAAAAAAATTTGTTTTCCTTTATGTACCTTGAACACAAACATTTTGCGGAACATTGGCCTAGAGCACTCACTTGCTGCACTTGAACAGCGTGGCCAGTGTGGCGTAGTGACCACGTAACGTTTCCGGCACGGGCTCGGCCAGCGACAGGATGAGCTTGCAGTACAGCCTCGACTGGATCTTGTCCTTGCGGTCGCGCACGCCTTCCAGCTCCGCGTTCGTGTACATCGCTGCTAGTCTGGAGGAAGGAATGATCTATAGTTGGCAAACTGAATGCTATAATGGTCAATTCAACCTTTTGTTAACTTCACACAAAAATATTATGTAAATATGGTTGAAGTTGTCGGCTGTTCGCCGTCGAATTTGCCTACTACGGCTGACTAACATGAGTCAGAATGGGACATCAAACAGGAATCGACCGGTTCTTATTAGTTCGATCGATAGGTCAAGATTGCAACATCCTAAAGTCACTATACTTTACTCATAAATCATATTTTGCTAGCGCCATGATCACGGCTAACTCCAATATAATATTTCTACTATTATTACCTGGTCAGCAGAGCGTCGCTGAGGCACGCGAGGTTGGTGGAAGTCTTGACGATGTCGTTTAGATGCGCGTGGCAATAGATCAAGCAGTCGTGCAGCAGTGGCTCCATCTACACCACAAACATGGAGAATTTGTACTCAAAATTTTGAATTTTTGAGTTGACACAATGTTCATTAAAAAGTACGCAATGTGGTGGTGTCAAATGAATATGCTCCAAATACCAGTAACAATAATAATTTACTTACCGAATAAAGAAAATGACTTAGCAGAACTAGGTTGGTAAAAGAAATGTAAGGAATGGAAATAGCTTTCTAGCGATAAAGGCGCTTTTTAAAAGCCTAATTTGCAGAAAATACATCACTTTTATCTGACACGTGTAACTAAATCCGTCAACGAATAATTAAGGCGATTATCACACTGCGCCGCGCTCCGCCGCGGTACGCGGGACGACAGATTTAATCATTGTATGNGTCGTGGCTAAACGCAATCCGCGAGAGCCATAAAGAAAAAAAAAAAAAGTATTGGAATTTATCGACTGAAGTCGCTGTTTGGAAGCAAGTTTGATCGTAGTATGGAAGTTTCCGTACCCTGGTCCCGTGTATACGGTCTACGGCGTTTATAGGAGACTACAGCGAGTATGCCTTTTTGATCTGGTGAATATAAGTGCCGCCACAATTTGAACCTTATTTATTATGGTCATCAACAGCCCTTTAAAGTCCACTGCTGGACTATGAGCCTCCTCCACTATAGTATATATTATGGTATACTGACTTGGTGTGAGTGGAGATGACGTTCCCACGCCTGTCGATTCTCATGCTAGAGGGCTGGCATGGGACTTGCTCCGCAATGTGGCGCCCTAGCAGCTTGTTGCATCTGTCAATAACAACAATGTTACTATAGTACCCACCCTAGAAAATATTTTACAATACTAATCGCAAACCGCGCTGCTTCATGTGAGGGTTCCCCCCTGGAAAATGACCGCCAATGGGAACGAACTAAAGTTTCTGCCATAGGCTAGAGCAGTGTTCCGCAAACGGTGTAGCGTGATCATTAGATGGTGTACCTCGGAAAAAAAAGATTATTATCTTATAAACTTATGTTTAGTAAGTATACTTAAGTAAGGATAAGACTAATAAAGGTAATTACATAAAACTTCCTCGTTGTGGATAAAAAAAATTATTTTTCATGTGTGGTGGTGTACCTCCAAAAAATTTCGTTTTCCTAGATGTACGAAACATTGGCTTAGAGCACTCACTTGCTGCACTTGAACAGCGTGGCCAGTGTAGCGTAGTGGCCACGTAACGTTTCCGGCACGGGCTCGGCCAGCGACAGGATGAGCTTGCAGTACAGCCTCGACTGGATCTTATCCTTGCGGTCGCGCACGCCTTCCAGCTCTGCGTTCGTGTACATCGCTGCTAGTCTGGAGGAAGGAAGATCTACAGTTGACAAACTAAATGCCATAATGGTCAACCAGTTCATTTTCCAGTAACCTTACAAAAAAATATGGATGGTTAAAGTTTTCTGCTATTTCCCTAATGGGATATCAAACAGGATTCTTCGATCAGTATAGTTCGATGGATCAAGTCGGCAACATCCAACTATGTAACAACCAAAAGGGAGTCACTATATTTACAGAAAGCATATTTTGTGTTCCACCTAAGAACAGAAAACCAGGTTCATCCAGACTTATATCTGCCACCTGCCTGCTGAAGAATGTACTTGCACATTTGCATATTTATGTATATTGATGATATTGTAATACCTGGTAAGTAAAGCATCGCTGAGGCAAGCGAGGTTGGTGGAAGTCTTGACGATGTCGTTGAGATGCGCGTGGCAGTAGATCAGGCAGTCGTGCAGCAGTGGCTCCATCTGAACCATAAACATGGAGGATTTTTGTAGACTCAAAATTTTGAATTTTTGAGTTGACACAATGTTCATTAAAAAGTACGCAATGTGGGTAGTGTCAAATGATGCTCCAAATACCAGTAACAATAATTTGCTTACCGAATAAAGAAAATGACTTAGCAGAACTAGGTTGGTAAAAGAAATGTACCTAAGGGATGGAAATAACCTTCTAGCGATAAAGGCGCTTTTTAAAAGCCTAATTTGCAGAAAATACATCACTTTTATCTGAAGCGTGTAACTAAATCCGTCAACGAATAATTAAGGCGATTATCACACTGCGCCGCGCTCCGCCGCGATACGCGGGACGACAGATTTAATCATTGTATGCTAGTACCTCAGTTTGTATAGAAAACACGCGCGGCACAACACACTGAAAACGCGTCTGCGCGCGGGATTTTTTGATTTTTTATATGAAATCACGCGCTCCGCGGCGGAGCGCGGCGCAGTGTGATAATCATCTAAGATTCTTCGTTTAGATTTATATGACAAAATTGGGGAATGATGATCATGATGATGATCACATACCTAATTATAAAACTCTACTCTTCGTACCTGCAAGAAGGAAGCTGAGACGAGTATGGGGACCACGTTGTGAGGGTCGAGCAGCGGCCAGTCCGCCACCAGGATCGTGTCGCGCTTCACCCAGCGCATCAGCCAGTCGAAGATCTGCAGCAAATACCTAAGTAATTTATTTACGAAGAGGGACGATAAACAACCAACTGCTTATGGAAGAAATACAGTCGAATTGAGAATCCCCTCGTTTCTTTGAAGTCGGTTAATTATAAAGTCTCACTTCTTTCTGCAGTTCATGGAATATTTAAGTTCTATTCAAAATTCTATGTTCCAACAAGCGATCAGTGTGTATTAATTTCATGTGTAGGTACTTACAATTTTAAATGATCTACGTACTTAGGTACCAGTTTTCCTGCGACTTGTCCCTTGGCTTTATTTTGGTTCTCATGGGAAAAAGGTCGTATCCAGATTATAATATAACTGAGACAAAAATAATGTAGATTTCTACTGGTGAAGGATTTTCAAAATCGTTTTTATGTTCCAAAAATTACTTCCAACAAACTAAGAAAAATAAATAGAAATGTAAACAGTCTTACCTGAATGTCGCAATGTACAGAAATATCCATGTCCTCGAGTCGCTGACCAGCCGTGACGTCAGCAAAGTATCCCATCTTTGAAACCAGTAACTTTTGAGGGCACCTGAAGTCTTTCTTCAAGCCTTTCACCTCATCGCATACGTGGATTTCTACATCGCCACTGAAAAATGAAATAAAAAATGCAAAAAAGATATTCCGATACCGGGAATCGAACCCGAGCCTCCTGGGTGAGAGCCAGGTATCCTAGCCACTAGACCATATCGGATATTGACAAAGGAGTTGAAATACACATACATAATATTCGTAACACGTTACAAAATTTCGTGCTCAATGACATTGTATTATTATTATGAATTTTAAAATAAATTACTAGGTAATCTTTCCAATCAAAACCGCTAAGTTTAGTTCCAATAAAATTATTGTAAATGTAACGTGTAAATAAAAACCCGTAAAAACGCCATCTAGCGACGGCAACAGTACTTACTCTTGTTTTTGGTTGCCCCTGTCTTGAGCGGCGATCACCGACGACTTGCGTCTTCCCAATCTATCTCTAGATTCCTTTTCGTTTACGAAACCTTAAAAAAAACAAGATTTAATAAACACAAAGTAACTTCGACTTTATTTTCAGTACACAAAGTAAGAAATATACTTGCCTCCAAAACTAGCAGGTTTTTTGATCTCAGCTACTGGACCAGACGGCACCTTTTTGATTATAGGCGTGTAGACGCTCGTTGTTTTTGATGGTTTCTTATATCCGACCAAGTAGGGAAGAATAGAATCCAGAATACCTTCATTTATTACCTGAAAAATGGCACGAAAAATATTAAATTGCAAAGACAGTAGCGACATCTAGTGTGATTATTAGTAAACTTAATAAAATCGTGGTATTCCAATGTTTTGGATAAAAAGCGATAACTAACATACTGTAAACTTACATCATTTAATTTGCAATTGAGATTAGCTTCAGTCCAAACCCCAAGCATTTCCACACGAGCTTCTGGGGGTAGGGAACGGCGACGGCCCTTACCTGCGAAGGAGAGACACTAGATGGCAGCACTTACAGTAAAAAAATATTTTTATGGCAAAGTAATTAAAATATTTTACCTTCAATTTCACTGCAACTTGAACGTTTTTCAATGCGCTCGATTTCATTATTTTTCTTCTCTATCGCCGTGTCACTCTTACTAGTAATAGGCTTTTGCTGAGTAAACGCAGTTTGGTACAGAAGATCCCTCTCCTGCTGTTCTATTACATGATTGATAACAGTTAATTTAGTCAACTCTTCCCAATTTATCTTCGAACCTTCGTCTTCATCGCCTTCTAAATGCTCGTACACTTGATATGCCGTTTTCATGAAGTCAAAGAAATCTTTGACCGTAATAATTTCTGCGGGTAGGTTGGTTTTTGAGTTCTTCCTAGAAGATGGCTCCGATCGCGTTGGACTCTTTCTTTTGCCATCGCCTTTTTGCATGAACATTGAAGCTGAATCTGTTTCTTGATTTGGACTTGCCATTTTAGATTGTTTCCGAAGTAAACGTATCGTCAAGAGCGATACGAAATATTGATCTAACAAAGTTTGTAGTTATGAATTTGCAATGATTGATTTAATGATTTTCAGTGAATCACATATTTGAAAATTAAGCTACTAAATAACTGACTTTAATTGATTACGAAACTTAAATGTAGGTAAATGAAAGAAATAATTACAAAATTGATTCAAGTGCCTGAATGACATTGTATAATGCTGATTGACTGATGTCATACAAATTAAAAAACCATAATGAGGTGTTAAAAAGGATTAAATCAACAAGGTTTATTTTATTTAATGAATAAAAACCTTTTTTCTAATTGAGCTCAAAATAAAATGTAATTGAAAACTTACTGATATTTTTAATGCTACGGCTATTCTCTCGACATTTTTTATCGGTGGTGTTATGTGGCAACATTTATCATCTGTGAACAGCTGTCTGTTTTGTCTATTGTCAAGTGATATGTCATATCAACATTTTCACTTTATTTTGTTGTTCAACAAAGTTATTTAGAATGTTTCTTGATATAGTTTATTATGGAAAGCTACCAACCCGAATATGACAAGAGTAGCGTATTGTCAGACACATTCTGGAGGACACCGCAGCGCGCGTACCCGGGTAGACCCCGTCAGAAAGTTGGTCAAAGCGAGGTTATGTCTGGGTCATCGTATCAGCAATTCCAGGCGTCCGTGAACGACGCCTGGGACCTCGGGGACGACGACATCATCTCCGGCATCGCAGAGACTAAAATATCGAAGGCCATATCGCAAACCGCCGCTTTAAACGTGATAAATTCTCATAGGAATAGTAGTAAGATCGTAAACAAAGGTGACGTAAAGGCTGAGACTGATAGTGTGAAATCGCCGTCGGAGACGGTTAGTGTGCGTAAAAATGAGACGAAGAAGGTGTTGGGTGGTCCAGGGGGTAGTTCTGGGCCGATGCGGCACTACCCCGGGCGGCCGCGGCCCGTGCGGCTGTCGGCACTTGCTTCTCGTGAAGAAAACAATGAGTTGAAGCTGGAGAGGTTTCAACAAGTCCATGAGAGTGCTGTGGTGGACCTGAACGAGCTCAAACAGCTGAGCTGGTCTGGAATTCCAGTCAAGGTGAGTTGTAACTACCCAGTAACAGGATATAGTACACATGCTATGACTCAATTGCATTGATTACCATTAATTGCTTTGATTGCTGCAATCTGAGAATGTTCACAAATTGTTTTATGGTTTGTGAATCAATTTCCAAGAGCCTTATTAATAATTAAAAACATAATAAGTATGGCAAAACTATTATTTTTCTAGTAAATAAGAAATACATATTTGCTCAAAACTAATATCTTGTAATATGTACTTATAAACAGACATTGTCTGTGATTTATTCTTGTGTAACTATTTGAAACTTGTGAAATTATTTATCTACACCACAAAATTATTAAGTTTTTTGCCTATTATTTACCAAGCAATAATTCATGTTCAATAACAACATTATTACTTGCAAATTTTAACTAATTACCCACGAATGCTTTTACAAATATTTGTTTAGTTCTTTGTACAGATAATAAATTGATTAATTTATAGATTGACAGCCATAACTAATTGGTTTAAAGCTGATATAAATTTAAAATGTGTTAAACTAAAATAACAAATTGGATAAATCTGCTCTATTATTTCTGGAATGTGAAAATCTTTAGCTACAAAACAACACCTCAATATATCTTAACAAAACAAAGAAATCAAATGTAAAAACTTATCAAGAAATGTTTGCAGATAGATAACTGACTAACAATCCATTTCTTTTGTTCCTAATTATGATCTATGTATTTAAATATTACCCCCCTACTAATATTATATGGTTGTCTGTTACGCTTTCACACCTAAACCACCAAACTGATTTGATAGTTTGAGTCTCTTGATTGAAAAAAATTCATATGGGTGAAGCCGCAGGCAAAAGCTTGTATTATACTAATCCAGAGCTAAGAGATACACATTTCTATAAAATTATATTTATTGTCTTATATATGTCAACGTGAAATTGTGAACTCTGTCAGTTTATAATATAACGCGTTAGATTGTAAACTAACAGTGGGTTAGGTTAGGTTAGATTGTAATTTAACTACGTCAGATTATAATCTGACGGAATTCACAATTTTACGGTGACATATACGTATTATGTAATTCAAAACATCAATTAGAAAATGGCTTAGAATAATACTCATTTGTTTTCCATAATTTATGTTAAGTCATGGTTTATAATGAGTGTCATTAGTATGTATGTTGAATGTTCTAAATGATCAAACTTTAATTAATTAAGTCTTAATTTATAATTTTCAAATTAAGTCTTTGTTATCCAAATGAACTACCAAACAATGGATTCTCATAAATAGCTTAATGATGAGTGGAAAGGAATGGCAATGAAAGTGGCAATTCAACTTTTTTCCTTTGGCCCAAGGCCAAAATTTGTCATCTTCTATAGTCTGGTTCGGGAGCACGTAGAATTTTGTCCAATGACCCCAAGCTACCCATCCTTATCGCTCGCGCGTAATTATGTTGCTGTCCCGCTCGCACACTCACTGCGGCTCGTGATTGGACGAAATTCTACGTGCTGACCAGACTAGGACCAGACTATACTAAAAGTTTAAGTTTGTACAGTTTTTAATTTCTTGTAATAAAAGATGGCACATACAGCAGCGTCTTATGGTCTTTAAAATTTATTTCTTTCAATATTTTAACTTTGTAGTTGGTAGGTACAGTCAGCATCAAATGCTTAACAAAAATGTAGTTTGTTCCATCCATGAAGACGCGCTCCACCAATTTTTGGTCGAGGGAAGCGCGGGGTCCGAAGCGAAGCCGAATCCGAGTGTCATTATTGTAGTGTGCGTGTGCACTCATGGATGATTTAGCGTGTACCGATAACACTCAAACATTAGCGGAAGAATGATGGGGCGCGTCTTCGTGGATGAAACGATTTATACTGTTGTTGTCTTCTTTAGACGTTAACGTCGGCGTTCAAACGCGACAGGAACGTTTGACGCTGACATCGTACGCCGCGTACAACGTTTAGTAGGATACCGTAGCCTAACGATAATATTTTTGTGTGTAATGTTGTCCAGGCTCGCGCCATAACATGGCGTCTGCTCGCCGGCTACCTGCCAGCTAACTCAGAACGTCGTGCCGAGACGCTCCAGCGCAAACGCGCCGACTACAAACATCTGGTGCGCCAGTACTACGATGCGAGCGAGGAAAGGGACGACGACACCTACCGCCAGATACATATTGATATACCGCGAATGAGTCCGCTCGTGGCGCTGTTCCAGCAGCCCACTGTACAGGTACAGTCCTCAGGCCACTATTTGTCCCACACTAGATGAGCAGTCCCACGCTAGACGAGCTGTCCCGCACTAGAAGCAGCACAACATCTAGCTAGACGACACTAGCGCCAGATATTACCTCATCATCAAACGCGCCGACTACAAACATCTGGTGCGCCAGTACTACGATGCGAGCGAGGAAAGGGACGACGACACCTACCGCCAGATACATATTGATATACCACGGATGAGTCCGCTCGTGGCGCTGTTTCAGCAGCCCACCGTGCAGGTAAAATCAAATCAAAAATAAATGTAGGCCTTTTCCAGGGCAGTCGTCACGTCCCAAATATAGCTTGCGCTACCACTTCGGGACGATAAATGGGCTGGTGCGCCAGTACTACGATGCGAGCGAACAAAGAGACAACGACACCTACCGCCAGATACCGTGGATCTGTATTGTGTAACTTTTTGGCGCGTTGGACTTTCTGTGAGCCTTCAAGCAGATTATAAATAAATAAATAAAATGTCGTCGCTCGTGGCGCTCTTTCAGTAGCCCACTGTGCAGGTATAGTAAAATAAAATCGAAATCTTTGTAAACAGCAGTTAATTTGAGCCTCGATGGACTGACGAGCCAAGATCAACGGGGTTTAAAAAATTTGTAACTGACCGACGCAAGTGGTCAGGCTTCATTCGCAAATGGCCACTCAGATAAATAAATCAGATTATCGTACGGTTTTTTTGTAAGGACTCCATAATGTTTATGTTACCTTGTGTACCTTGTTGGTGGGCGATTCCTGTACTGTCAATGAGTACCTAATACAGGAAAATCTGTACCGTAGTAACGTCTTACATATAGCCTTATTACCGACATGATAGAAGAGGTACCTTCATCAAAACAGAAACTGTATTTAGCGAATATCTCTCTGCAGGTGATGTTCGAAAGGATCCTATACATCTGGGCCATCAGGCACCCTGCCTCAGGCTACGTGCAAGGCATCAACGACCTGGTGACGCCATTCTTCATGGTGTTCCTGCAAGAGGCGGTCCCGGGGGAAGAGTTGGACAACTACCCTCTGGACAAGCTGTCGGAGCAGCAGAGAGACATCATCGAGGCGGATTCCTTCTGGTGCTTGTCAAAATTCCTGGACAGTATACAGGATAACTATATTTTCGCGCAGCTGGGGATACAGTATAAGGTATGAAAACTCATAAAACTAATTTATTTTTGCAAATAGGACTTTAAAAAGCCCTTTTACACGTCCCAGTATTAACCCTTCCACTGCTTCGGGACAATAAATGGGCCAGTGCTGAGAAGAAGCAGCGCAAGAAACTCAGTCACTGTCAGCCTATGTTTTATTTATTTACTATCGACTCGCCCCCGCTTAAGTTAGTTTTAAAGATCTAAGCACACACAGGGACAGACAGCGGCAAGCGACTTTGTTTTATACTATGGTGATTCTCTGATTCATTTTTGATTAAAATTATACCTATTAATACAAAGTATTTCCACCTTATCACGCTTAATCTGCCATCGCATCGTCCGCAATTGTTATAATACGTATCACTGCAGCCCAATTCACTTATCTAATTGGCTTGTAATTTTATTAATTGAGATAAAAATACTCTTTGTTGTTTTAAAGTAAAATATTCCTAGTTGGCGAATTAAAGTTTTAACTATGAACAAAGCATTTATTCTTGAGTTCATGTTGTTGTTTCTAATGATAAAGTTACTGAGATAAAGCACACTTGGAATGTTTTACACAAAAACTTTACCTAATTATCTCTCAACCGGTCTGACTGACTCATTTACAATGGCTAGAACTTAAATTGTGTGCTTAGGCCACTTTGTTATTGCGCCGTTAGCGACGGAGCCAGGGGAATACTAATCTACATACTTGAACCGGGTAGTTCTTACTCGTTCGTTCATCTAAGACTGAGCGTTTTCTAAAGTAACAGATTTATAAAAAAAGTCGGTTTGTCCGTAGTACAAGCTTTGCTTAATTTGCGACACTTAATAGCATTGTCTAAAAATTATCTAAGATATTTATAAAAAAAACTATAACGACATCATCCAAAATGATACCCGCAATGTGCCCATGTATGTAAAAAAACGGCCAAAACAGCGTAATTTTTTTTCCTTACCCCAAGTTATACGGATACCGAATCGTCCCAGTCACCAGTCATTTGCCCATGTATTTGTAAAAGAACAGTCAAAACACATTCTCAATTATTTCTATTTTTCTCCTACCCCAGGTGAACCAGCTAAAAGAATTGATCAGACGCATCGACCAACCACTTCACGAGCATTTACAGAGCCACGGTGTGGACTACCTTCAGTTTTCCTTCCGCTGGATGAACAATCTGCTCACCAGGGAGATTCCTCTGGCCTGTACTATACGCCTATGGGACACATACCTGGCGGAGTCGGACGACTTCGCTATATTCCAGCTGTATGTCTGCGCAGCGTTTCTGCTGCATTGGAGGGAGAGGCTTATGCTGGAAAAGGACTTTCAAGGTGGGTAGATTATTCCCAGCTCTCGTTAAAAAGGATTTTCAAGCTACGGGACTGTTCTCAGCTCCCTTTCATACAGCTGCAACTCCTGTATATCAAGTCTACAGCTTGACCGCCAATAGAAACACAACCAGTGAAGATCAAGTTTGTTCCCGGACTTCAAGGTAGGTAAGATTTTAGCAGTGATTTAAATACCTATCTGCTGGATGAACAACCTGCTCACCAGGGAGATTCCCCTGGCCTGTACTAAAATAAAAATTCATAAAATTACTACTATACGCCTATGGGACACATACCTGGCAGAGTCGGACGACTTCGCCATATTCCAGCTGTATGTGTGTGCTGCATTGGAGGGAGAGACTTATGCTGGAAAAGGACTTTCAAGGTGGGTAGACTATTCCCAGCTCTTTTTCTCACTGCTGTAACTGCTGTAGCCAGGATCTACAGCTTGACTGCCAGTAAAAACTCAACCAGTGGAGGACATCGGGACTAGACGAAGCGTCGAGCGTAACTCGACCCTTTCAGCTCAGTATGCCAACCGCTCGCAAATGGCCAACTTCTCCTCAAAATGTCAAATTCTTGAAATGCCAACTTCCTGAAATTCCAACTTCGCGAAATGCCAATTGCTCGTAAACTCTTAATGCCAACTTCTCGAAATAAGGTTTAAGATATTTGTTTTCTCAGAAGATTACAAAAATCACTGGCAGTGAAAATACAATTTGACAAAAATATTAATTACGTAAACACGCGAACACAAAAGTGGGTACTTAAAAATATAAAAACATTCACACACCGAACATCCAACTGCTGATCGAGTTTGACGCAGGCGCTAAGGCTGGTTTTAGTGTCACGCGGACCGTCGGCGGTGCGGACCCGCTCCGCACGGCCAATCTGTATGAACTTCTAGGGAGCGTTTTATTTTATTTTTCTTTAGTTTAGTTAGTTTAGTTTTACAGTAATGCGGTCCGGAGGAACCGCTCCGCTCCCTAGCAGTTCATACAGATCGGCTGTGCGCAGCGATCCGTACTGACAGTCCGCGTGACACTAAAACCAGCGTAAGGGTTGTAAAGTTTGATTTTGTTGTAGCAAGTAATCTTTGAAACTATCGATCCTCAAAATAACTTATTGCTTTCCAGGCCTAATGATCCTGCTCCAGAACGTGCCGACGCAAAACTGGTCGGACTCGAACATCAGCGTGCTGGTGGCGGAGGCCTACAAGCTCAAGTTCGCCTTCGCCGACGCGCCCAACCACCTCGCCCAAGCCCGCGCCGACCGGTGACCGGCGCCCGCACTAGCAGAGTAAATACAAATGAGTAGGTCATCTTCATAGAAACGCACGGCCGCGGTTTGTATGTGAGCGCGCCAACACGTATGCGGCGCGCACGCACACACTGACAAAATTCGGNCTAAGATATTTATTTGTAAAAAAAAAACAGTATACCGATATCATCCAAAATGATACCCGCAATGTGCCCATTTATGTAAAAAAAACGCCAAAAACGTCCAAAACAGCGTAATTTTTATTTTTTTCCTTAACCCAAGTTATACGGATACATCGACTCGGTCAACTCAACAGTCATTTGCCCATGTATTTGTAAAAGAACAGTCAAAACACATTCTCAATTAATTTCTATTTTCCCCTGCCCCAGGTGAACCAGCTAAAAGAACTGATCAGACGCATCGACCAACCACTTCACGAGCATTTACAGAGCCATGGGGTTGACTACCTTCAATTTTCCTTCCGCTGGATGAACAATCTGCTCACCAGGGAGATTCCCCTGGCCTGTACTATACGCCTATGGGACACTTACCTGGCAGAGTCGGATGACTTCGCCATATTCCAGCTGTATGTCTGCGCAGCGTTTCTGCTGCATTGGAGGGAGAGGCTTATGCTGGAAAAGGACTTTCAAGGTGGGTAGATTATTCCCAGCTCTCGTTAAAAAGGATTTTCAAGCTACGGGACTGTTCTCAGCTCCCTTTCATACAGCTGCAACTCCTGTATATCAAGTCTACAGCTTGACCGCCAATAGAAACACAACCAGTGAAGATCAAGTTTGTTCCCGGACTTCAAGGTAGGTAAGATTTTAGCAGTGATTTAAATACCTACAGTTTTACTTCTGCTGGATGAACAACCTGCTCACCAGGGAGATTCCCCTGGCCTGTACTAAAATAAAAATTCATAAAATTACTACTATACGCCTATGGGACACATATCTGGCAGAGTCGGACGACTTCGCCATATTTCAGCTGTACATATGTATGTGTGTGCTGCGTTTCTGCTGCATTGGAGGGAGAGACTTATGCTGGAGAAAGATTTTCAAGGTGGGTAGACTATTCCCAGCTCTTTTTCTCATTGCTGCAACTTTTGTATAGCAAGTCTGTAACTTGACCACCAGTAAAAACTCAACCAGTGAAGGTCAAGTTTGTCCCGGGGGTTTCAAGGTAGGTTAAATTTTACTAGTGACTTTAAACTGCAGTTCTCGTTCCCCTGGAGGAATGCCTGCTCACCAGAGAGATTGCCCTGGCCTGAACTATACCTGGCATTGGCAAAAATCTCATAAAAATACGTGCAGTTTATTATTAAAATATCCAATCTTCTAGTTTTTCATTCCGTCCTAATATTATCTTGCTTGACAATTACGAACTTAAATAAAGGTATAGTTCCAAAATACTGAACTGTCCTATGCATGACATTGACAGTGGGGCGCCACCGTCATCAATACCGGATCGCTGGTTCAGATTTTTGCCATGTTGGAAACCATATAGTTGAACGATGGTAGCGCCCCCCTGTCATTGAGTTTGGTGGGACAGTTCAGCGTGGGTCATCTATAATTGACTTTTTGTAATGATCAGATTTTTGGCACTAACATTTTAAAAATACTTATTTAATTTTTAGTGTTAAGAGTTGCGTCTCAAAATAATTTAAAAATAATAAATAACTTGAAAAAATTGAACTACCTGAGGCGTAAGGGTTCGATTCCCGCGAATTTTTCAAGTTATTTATAATTTTCAAATTTTAAGACGTAGTTTCTAAGTCTGTAAAATAACCCGCCACTTATTCCATTCCAGGCCTAATGATCCTTCTCCAGAACGTGCCGACGCAAAACTGGTCGGACTCGAACATCAGCGTGCTGGTGGCGGAGGCCTACAAGCTGAAGTTCGCCTTCGCCGACGCGCCCAACCACCTCGCCCAAGCCCGCGCCGACCGGTGACCGGCGCCCGCTACTAGCAGAGTAAATACAAATGAGTAGGTCATCTTCATAGAAACGCACGGGCGCGGTTTGCATGTGAGCGCGCCAACACGTATGCGGCGACACACACTGACAAAATTCAGNAAATTCGGCGCAACCACGACTGATCTCCGCTCTCGGTGCGTTTCTATGAAGATGACCTACTCATTTGTATTTACTCTGGTACTAGGGCGCCTGCGGAGCGGTGGCGAGAGCGTGTAATGTAAAATCAAGGCGAAGACGCTCTGTAGGCCTAAGATGCGCGCCGTGATAAGCTTTTATCGCGCCATTTTATCGATTTTACGCGATAGATCCGTGCGTTTGTCGTCTAAAATGATGGTCTTAGGCCTTGTTCAGACTATTCAGTTTCTGGGTTGTCCTCATTGACAAGGCCTGAAACGGTAACCGCGCGATTATCGCTGTGTCAGGCCTTAGGGCGCCTATCCATCTACCGCAGGAAAGCGTGATATAAAACTACGGCGAGTGTGTTTTGGATTCATTAAGCATCATGCAATTTACTTAGATACAATGTTACATTACAAGCGACCGCTCCCGGTTTGTAAGCGCAATTTCACTCAACTTTGTACCGGAACGCTCTGTGGTAACTGTTTCTTATAAGAAACAACTAAATCTTCCTACGAAATGAGAATATGACCACTGAATTTTTGGGCGTTAGTTACTCTTAATTTTTGGCTCTATAACAAAACAATTCACTTGTAAGAATGGTTGTTAACTAATTGATTTGTATTATAATGGAAGATCAGTTTAGTACATTCATTTCGATTAAAAATGAGGTGACCAATATTGCTTTGTCACTTCCAAATCAAATATTTCGTCTCTTTTCAATCAGTAAAGATAAAAAGAGAGGTTTTAAGTTAGTTAAAACTTAAATTGGCACTCATTGAACCCTTGCTTCAAAAATGGTCAAATTTGGGATTTAGGTATTGTTTTGATAGATTAAGAAAAAAATATTTACTTTTTGAAAAAATTTCAATTAGTATAGAAGTTATGACATGTCACTCAAAACGGACATTGCCAATTATTTAGCATTACAACCATGTCACTTAGGGCGGACTTTGCCAGTTTAGAAAAACAAACGTAAAACAACTTTTCATAATAACAATACAGGAATCCCTGATAATCATCTTCTGGCTAATCCAGCGCCTTTTGCAATCCATCTGGACTATTTACTGTTGATTTTACATAAATTTATCAAAAAATACCCTGACATATAAAAACAGAAACTGGCTGCCTGATTTATCAACATAAATCCCAAACCGGTGAGTATAAATACACAAAGTTTGGCATGTAGGTTCCTTATTAGGGTCTAGGGGTGTTATCAGAAAGGATTTTTCCAAAATTACCCCCTAAGGGGGTGAAATGGGGGTCCAAAGTTTGTAGGGCGAAACAAAATTAGTTACACTATTTAATTAGAAACTTCACAGGATACATTCCTATCGATAAATGAATAAACACGTGTTTCAGGTTATTTCAGAATTCAACCCCTAAAAGGGGGAAATTGGGTAAAAATGTCTAAAAATCAACATGAGTATTTATTACTGATACATGGCATTGTCCGTTTTAAGTGACATAACATTTGTAACCTTGAAATGAATGGAAAAAAATCGATATTTTTTTACAGTTTTGGCAATAACCGTCAGTTTTACTCGTTAATATTCTAAAATCAATCAATAAAGCTCAAGAACAAGTGTAATACCTACAGTATTGCCACATTTATCAAGATTGAAAACTTGACATTGCTGTTGCATTTATTCAACTGTCTTTATTTTTAAAATTCGCGGCTTATTATTGAACTACAGCCCCGTGTTTCACATAAAATATCATGCTTTTTATTAAAATATCCCTTGAAAGTCGATAAATTGCTTTAATTTAGATTCTGTAAGCAATTATTTGACATGTCCTTTAAAACGGACAAAAACAATTTAAGGGTTAAAAGAATGGTTCAATGTAATTGTACCGCGGTATGTATAATGATGCAACGTTAAAATACGAAAAATTTACTCCAATCACTAAATTGTACTAATTTTATTTACTGATATTATTATTAATAAGGTATATTCACAATGCCGCGTGGCGTAATAGTGGTATAGATCGTTTCATCCACGAAGACGCGCTCCACCAATTTTTGGTCTCGGTCGCGCGGGGTGCGGGGAGTTTGATCCGAGCAATCCGTAAGGCATTATTGTAGTGTGCGTGTGCACTCATGGATCATTTAGCGTGTACCGATAACACTCAAACGTTAGCGGAAGAATGGTGGGGCGCGTCTTCGTGGATGAAACGATCTATAATGTGAACCTACCTCCTTTGTTTAGTGATAACTCGGAGAATTATTTTTAAGCATTTTGGGCTATTTTACGAAAATGTGAGCGTTGAATTTTAGTTATTATTTCATATAAATTAATTTAGAAATGGTCAAACGTGTAATCAAAATGTTCGAAGCTTAGATAAATAATATTGTAATCTGACAGGGTAGTTATGGAAGTACTAATTGAGAGAAGTGTTCATAAATTGTTTAAAAGGTTAATGCTTAAATTACATGTTTGGTTATTTCAAATAATACTGAATTCACTTTTCAATTGATAGTAACATTTGTCACGAACATAATTTCCCAAGCCTTTATGGACCATAGTAGTTGTTACGTCTAAAAAAGGACGTATTCCACTTTGAGCACCCGTCCAAATAGCACCTGCACGAATAGCACCTGGCCTATTCCACTTAAAGCACCTATCGATATATGGAATATTTTTTTATATCGTTAGCTGCTCTAAGTGGAATAAGCCAGGTGCTATTTCGGCGGGTGCTTAAAGTGGAATACGTCCAAAAACGACGCGAGGTTGGCGAATTTAGAGTTACAATTGTCACGAATGTTACTTTTTTAGTGCTATTGAGATATGCCAATATGCATCCGACTCATTATTTTGCCCGTTAAAGCTGAAGCTAATGTGAACCCACACAGTCGGCGTCAAATAGTTCATAACATTTGGCTAATAAGTTGACTACACAACCTTATTCCAATGAGGGCTATCGTTTTAGCGCTCACCAGTTAGCGCCACTGTAGAGTAAGGTCCTGTCACTTGCTAGTAGCGAAGACAGTGGCACCAACTGGTGAGCGCTAAAGTGGTAGGAGGACTATCGCATTTGCACTCATCAAGATAGCGCCACTGTAGAGTAAGGTCCTGTCAATCGCCAGGGGTGCCAACTGCTAAGTATAAAAACGATAGCCCTCATTGTAACAAAGACGTGTTGCGAACTTATTGACCACTTTGTGTGTCACCAACTATTTGACGCTGACTGTGCGCCTATAAGCCAATGCCAGCAGATTTGAATATTTAAATGTGTCATAAAAAGCCATACTTACATAATTATGGATCTATAAACGTTGGCTAGCGTATCAAAGGACTGTCAAAACTCAAAACTATTCCCCGTAGATTTTATAGCGCAATAGAAACTTATGGCGTCACTTCGCTAACTTTCTTATTACTATTGATTTCTAAGCCACTAAAAATCTTATCCCCTTAGTAATAAAAATTACAAGCGTGTTGAACACTAGTAACAGCCCTTAGGCTGGTTTGCACCATCTTACTTTAACTTTAACAAACGTCAAAAGTCTGCCAAACTCCATACAAAACACACCGGTTTTGTTCAGAAGATCGGTAGTGTTCAACATGCGCGTAACTTTTTATTAGTAAGGAGCTAATATTCAGTTATTTCAAGATTATTAGTGTTTAGCGCTACAATACAATGTTTTAGAAGGGAAGTTGTGCCTTGGAACTACCCTACAATGCAGATTTCTTCTGAACCTGTAATATATGGACCTGTACAGACATATCCGAGGCGTCATTGTAGTAATGCACTTGACCTAAGTCTAACTGCAAAATCATTTCGATATATTCGCCTCGCTCACTTACAAGTAAACCCAGGCGCGTGGGAGAGGAACGGAGGATCGAAATCGTTTTGCAAAGTAGACCACTTGGTCACATTTTGTATGGAAAGTTTAAATATAAATAATATATAATATTCAGCATGTAAAGGCCTAATATTAAGCGAGTTGAAATAAGTTGGTTTAGTTTAGGACGGCTGCGTCTGTCCGTCGTGTAAAAAGAAATACGTCCTTTGATTTTTTTGTGTTTTTGTGACCATTCTTTATGTATTATTTGATTTTATTAATATGTTACTTTACTAGATGATTATAGCATATTATTATACATTTCAACATGTGTTTTATTAAACCTGACACCACCACCATACTATACTATACTACATATTTTTCTGTATAAACAATAAAAACTTAAGTCTTAAATCATGAAACTTGCTTGTTAACCCATTTGGATCTCCATTCTTGAATTGGCAGCGAAAGCTACAGTCACATAATCTTGATACACCTATAACTTGGCTCCCAAATTATGGTATCCTCGTTCCCTTTAAAAACATTACGTACGAGTAAGTATGGCCCACACAAATTACTGAAATTAAATCTCAACGAAGTGGTATCTGATACCTCATTTCTAAGTGTTTCTCATCAACTACGGATTCTGGCTTCTGGCTTTTGCCTCTAGTCCTTGGGGATCATCATCATCATTTCAGCTATAGGACGTCCACTGCTGAACATAGGCATCCCCCAATGCTTTTCATGTTGATCGATTGGTAGCAGCCTGCGTCCAGCGCTTCCCTTGGGGATATCATGTAGTAAAATATTTTTCTTTCTTTCTTTCTAAAATAACCTTCCAACTTTTAGTTTCCATGCCGGGCAACATTGACCTCCGCACTGCGCAGGGCCGGCCCGCGTGACCTTGACCTCGGGGCGCTGACATTGACAGCCCGGTGACCTCGAAATACGCTCAAAACAACATTGATTTTGACGGGGAATCGGTACACCTAGTCCGCCAGCCCCGATTGAGCTTTGCATGGCAGTAAAATAGTGTAAACTTGTCTAAATGACCGGGTATTTTGATAATTGTGAATATTTTTGTGAGGATCGATTTAGATGACACATATCCCAGGACTAGCGGCCTTGATTGGAAGGGGTAAGTGAAGTAACTATTTTATAACCTGACGCCTAGCA